CAATGAAGCGTTGGCCATTTCGTAACTAAACCACCAATAGTGATACAATAACCAACTGTTTCGTGTTGTTCCATGTCTGACCTGTACTTTTTCTTGAAGCATCTACTCTTAGGTTCGAGGAACCTGATAAGCAGAAGCTCTATGAGAAAATTTCGTTTGAAGAACTGCATAAAGAAATTATTGAGCTAAGGGTATTTGCTTTTTCTCAGTAAAGAGTTTCGTTTGTCTTGTCTGTGTATGTGTTCTTGATATCTTATGTTACTCAATTTCTGATGTTTGAAAACACTACTTGTCAAGTTATCCTGGGTGCAAATTTAGTTTATCACAAAAATATCTCATGTTGGAATTTGTAGCCTGCCTTTGTTATTTTTTTGCTAAAATTTGAAATAGTCTGCCTTTGTTGCACACAAACAATTGTAATTTGTTAAATGTGGACATCCTTAACTGAAGTAGGAGACTTGGTCCTCTAATTCATCTCGGCTGCAGTAACTTGCCAAATACCTGCTAATACTTCTTTCTGTAATCTAAACCATTTGTGTCTTGGATAGGTGTGCATGCCAACCCTTTATTCCCTGCTTTGGTTCGATAGTATTTCCTAATTCTTATGATTGAACAGGAATTCACTGGCGTACTTAATTCACCTGTGGTGTTTGCTCATAATGATTTGCTTTCGGGAAACCTGATGCTGAATGAAGAAGAAGGTTTAAAAATCCTTCTTCTCTGTAGTTCTTTTCCAGCTTAAATTATCTGCTAGCAAGACATATAAAGACGGATATAACGCCAAAAGCGATACGGTGACTTAGTTATGCATGAAATTGCATTTTCGTTTAATGATTAATCATAATGGTGAATGGTGATGGTGTTATACAAGATCCCAGAGACACTTTCAGGAGTTGCATACCAATGATCTTTCGAACGCATATTTTTGGTTTTGCTTAGTTATTTTCTTCTGTATCTTAAGTATTCATGATTTTACATTCTAACTTGAGTCTCTGCATCCATGTTTAGAGAGACTATACTTGATTGATTTCGAGTATGGATCATACAACTTTAGAGGCTTCGACATCGGTAATCACTTCAATGAATATGCAGGATACGACTGTGATTATAGTTTGTATGTTCAACTTCTTCTTTACTTGTACTATCATTCTAAAACTTTCCTCAACATATTGAAACATAATTTCTCGTTTTGATTGGCTTTGTAGCTATCCAAGTAAAGAAGAACAATATCATTTCATCAAGCATTACTTACAGCCAGAGAAACCAGACGAGGTAAAAATATATCAGGTGACTGGAAATGGTACAGTCTGTTTTAATGGAGATAGTAATCCGTGAATTCAGTTGCTTAACAAAATATATAATGAGGTGAAATTGAGGTAGCAATCTGTTCATTAGCAAGAGTGTCCAGAGTTTTGGTACCAAGTTGGGTCTTCAATTAGGCACGATTGTTTCTTTACATATGCGTTTTTGTTTTCTAATGGAATTTTAGAAACAATGATATATCATGGAAGCGCGATGCCTTTTGAAACAATCGTGGCTTATAGATGGATATGGAGTTTGTGCAAATAATCATGGCTTATAGAAGTATAAAGAACCAAAAGTATGTGTAGTCTATTGCAAAACTAATGAATATATATTGCTTTGTGTGAACAGGTCAGCGTCGCCGAAGTGGAATCAGTCTATATAGAGACAGATGCGTATAAATTAGCATCTCATTTGTACTGGGCTATATGGGCGATTATCCAGGTACACTTATTAGTATATTTTGCTTAATGTAACCAAATTGTCTTCAGCTAACGTAACTTGTACAAATCTTATGGAACAGGCAAGGATGTCTCCTATTGAGTTTGATTATATGGGTTACTTCTTTTTGCGGTACAACGAATACAAGAAGCAAAAGCCTCTTACCTTTTCACTTGTTACATCTTATCTCTCTGCATCCGTCTAGCCTTTGACCAAAACGGAAATATATATATTTTTTCTTTTTTTTTTCTGTGTTGTCATCAATTCTTGTAAAAGTTGTCTGTGCTGGTAGTAAAACCATGTATGGTTTGTATGAATCCACTTGATTTGTGGAATAGTCGCTCTTTAAATCTCCAAACACCCACAAGCAACGAGGAAAATAAAGCATGTAGTAATTAAAGTCCTCTTTCACCGGATACTATGAGATGAGATAGCAATCTCTGCATTTCGAGATCTGAAAATCTGAATGAGGCAAGTTTCCTTTGCTCTGTATAGAAAGGTCATTCATTTCTTACCTAAAATCAGAAGCGGCTACCGTGAAGCGAGGAAGCGAATTTTTTAGAAAATTAAGGAGGTGGGTACGTATTAGAAGCGTGTG